TCCGGGGCTGAGCTATCACGTGCCGCAGTGGAGGGCATGGGGACCCAGAGGCCCACTGCGTCCCTTTCTGTCTGGGCTCCCAGGGGCCCCGGGCAGCGGTGTGCACACGGACGTCCTCCCCACTCCCAGGCCTCATGTCTGTTCCCACTTGTATTTATTTCTTCTGGGCTTTCCCTGCCAGACTTGTCACTTTGGGCACCGCGTGTTGTCCTGAGAAGCCTCTGTCCTTGCCCTTGAGCGTCCATGAGATGGGATGCATCTTGCCGTCCGTGGGGGACGTGGTTACCCTGGTGGCACTCGTGTGTCTCCCCACAGAAGAACAGCCCTCGGTGATGACACCCGGCCCCCTGATGCTCTGCACCCGCCCCCCCGCGCCCAAGTGCGACTTTAGGAACTGCCACCTGCCCTGTTCCCCGGAGGCTGACCCAGCTGTGTTCGGAGGCACGGATGCTCTTCACGGGCGTGGCCCTGTCAGAGCTGCTGGTCTGGTTGGTGCTGAGCCGGCAGATGCAGAGCAGGGTGAGACCTTTGTGAGGGGAGGCTGCCTGGGGCTGAGCAGGAAGGGACAGGGCAGGGCGGGCGGGCATCCCGGGCGCAGGGGTGGTATGGCAAGTGTTCGCCATACAGAGTAGCTCGGTCACGCCGCCGTGCTGCTCCCGATAGTCACCCACCCCCGCGCCGTCCCCTGGCAATCACTGATCTGTTCTCTGTCCCCAGAGTTCTGTCTTTGGGGCCCTGTCCTACGAAGGGGTCACCCAGTGCCTAACCCTGTGAGATTGGCCCCTTCCCTCCCACAGCGAGTCTGAGCCTCACCTGCGCGGTGCAGCGGCTGCAGCAGTCCTTCTGGATGACTCGCCCTGCAGGTGCTCGGCGGTATATCCGCCCGCTGCCGCGGGGCATTGGGCCGTCTCCAGGCTGGGGCAGGTGTGAGCAGAGCAGGTGTGAGCGTCCTTGCTCGGGGCCTGTGCGGACTGTCTCCGTGTCTCCTTGCTCCCGGGTGAGTACTTTGGATTGGACCGCCGGCTCCCTGGGAAGCCGCTCGGCCAGCGTGCGCACCCGCCAGCCGGGGTCCCGCACCCAGCTGTTCCGCACCCTGCGCCGCCCAGCGTGCCCGGGGTCTGCGAGCTCAGCCGCTCTGTAGGTGTGAGGTGGGGGTCTCTGTGCGGTTTTATGTGCTGTTTTCTAATGGCTGATGATGTGGAGTGTCTTTTCATGTGCTAATTTGCCATCTGTATATTCTCTGGCCAAGTGTCTGTTCAGATCTTTTGCTCATTTTAAAAACTGAGTTGTCCATTTTCTTGCTGTTGAGTTTTGAGAGTTCACGCTAGATTTCCAGGGCAAGTCCTGGGTCAGATGTGTGGTCTGCGGACCACTCCCTCTGGTCCGGGGCGGGCCTCCTGTCCGTCATTCACAGACCCGAGGTTTTTGTTTTCATTAAGTCGGTAAACCTGTCGAGTCTTTCATGGGTGGATGCTCTTGGGGTCATGTCTAAGCTTTTAGCTGAACCCAAGATCACAGAGATTTTCTTCCAAAAGTTTTATGCTTTTTGTGTCTTATGTTAGGTCCGTGATCCATTTCTACTCATTTTTGGGTAAGGTGTGAGGTTTAGATCGAGGGTGGTTTTGTGGTTTTGCTTTTGCGATTTGCCCGCGCACAACCCCTTTCTGGGCACCACGTGTTGGAACAGCTGTCCCTTCCCCCGCCGTGGTGAGTGACCCTTTGTCACAAAGCAGCTGAGTGTGTGTGGGGGGGGTCTGTCTCTGGGCTGTGGACAGGGTGTCCCTCTGCTTGCCCGCACAAACCTCGCGGGCTTGGTTACAGCCATTCTATAGTAAGTCAGAAGTGGACGGTGTGATTTAGCATTTTTCTTTCCATTTAGTTGTAAGTTGTATTTTCCTACATAATCACAGACAAGGGGCTCCTTTCCTTAATCTGCCGTTTTAACAGTGTATACTCTTGTAGGGTGGGAGTACCCTTCTCTGCCCCCCCACGTCCCCGCCCAACCTCAGTGGAGCTCCGTCACCTGCTGGCGGCCACTCGCACTAGTGGGGGCTCCCTACCGAGGGTGGGGGCTGCCTGTGCCGCCTCTGAGTGCATCTGGGGACAGGAACAGAGTCTACTCCTGGGGCCCTGTGACACGCCAGCATCCTGTGGCTGGGGGCTTGGTATGTTTTGCTTGGGGAGAGGGCCCAGCGCTTTTTCTAGCTCAGTCAGTGAGCCACAGGAGGTTGAAAAAGTACAGGAGTGGAGGCCAGTGACCCTCCCGGGGTCCCGCCAGACCTGCCTCGCCCGCTCTGCCCTCCGTTGGTCCTCCCCCCCGGTTGTATCGAGATCGAGTCGGCAGACGTCACTGTGTAGACTATAAGATGAGGACCACGTGGCGTTGGGTGAGGGCCAGTGTCTCCCACGGATGCCATTCGTCTCTTTCAAGAGAATAGTTCTGTTGCACCGGAAGGTACACAACTAGGATTTCCCACCATAGCTGGTTTTGGGGGCGCCGTCCAGGGGCGTCAGGCATGCTCGCACTGCTATCCTGGCGTGCCCTCATCTGCCTCCAGGACTCTGCGTCTTCCTGACCCGACTCTGTCCCGTTACACACGGACCTCCGCTACCGCTGTCCGTCCCTGCGGACAGACCAGTGGCATCTGACGGGATCTGTCCTCTGTGCTGGGCTCACCTCTCTCATCATGATGTTCCGAAGGCCCCATCCTTCCTTGGCTAGACTCCCGCAGCGTCACCGAGTCAGGGAGCACTTGGGTCCCTTCTTGGTGCCCAGAGTTCCCCGCAGGGTCCCTCCTTGCGTCCAGTTATAGCTCTCTTTGTGCGTGATCTGAGGGTCACTGCCTGTCCTTGGTTGCTGCTTCCCTTTTGGCCCAGATCAGCTACTGTTCCAGATCATTCCTCAGAGGCCCTTTCGACCGTGACTCACCTTTCCTGCACTGAGTGATTACTCACCTGTTGGTATAGATAGCTAATTGCTCTTTCATGTGCTTCTCTCCAAATTCCACGGTGCCAAAATATTTGGAGCCCACAGTCCTGGAAGCCGGTTAAAAACGGGGCCGTTGATGGGGAAGGGAGCAGTGGTGCCTCAGTGCGATCCGCAGGGCAGCCTGCCATGTCCCTGCCCACAGCCCACCAAGGGGCCTCCCAGCACGCCTGCAGCCAGGCGCCCAAACGCCCGCCCCAAAGCCACAGGGATGCACGGGGCGGGGGGTCATGCCCCCTGGCCTCCATACCCCCCGCACGCTCTCCCAGGTCTCCAGAACCTGGTTGTAAGCCATCCCCTCTGCTCCCTGGAAGGAGGAGCCCCTGATGCTCAGCTGTGGGCTGCAGTGGCGGCGGCAGGAGATTTGGGGCCCGGGGAAGGGGCGGGGAAGGGATTCGGAGCACCTTTCCAGATGAGCCACCACTCGGGTTCGGGTATTTTTAGTTTGCGCAGTATCCGGCGCTCGGCAGAGCAGAAATAGAAGAGGCTCTTTTGGATGTTCTGGATCTGCTGGTCTCTGGCTCTCGGGAGCCGGGCTGGGGGGCTGGGGGGCAGGCGCGCGGACCGCAAACAAGTTCTGCTGTTGAGAGAAACACGGCAGGATGCGTTGTGGATGGCGTGACTTCGGCTGGTGAGCGCTCTTTATGTAAATGCCACGCGCTGGCGTGCGTCTGCGTGTGTAATCACAGCCGGCCGTGGGGGGGCGGGGGCGGGTAATTATGTTTTAAAATATCATCCGGGTTGTTTTTGCTGTGCTCCCTGAGCCCCCGGGTATTCCAGGTTTGGAAGATTCTCTGTTGCTCTCCGTCGATCCGCCCCCGCCCGCGTGCCCCGCACACACCTGGTGGGAGGTGTCGCCCGACCCCCAGAGCGGCCCGATGCCCTCTCGCCTGTGTCCTGGTCTGGGGCAGGCTGCCTGGAGCTGCAGGCCCCCCTCCGCACTGAGCCCAGCCGTCTGCCTTCTCCAGAGAGGCCCGCCCGTGGTGTCCAGGAGGCCGGCCCCCCAGGGGCTGGGCGGCCCCCACCACTCCCCTCCAGGAGCTTGAGGCTGCTCCAGGTTCTGGAGGCCTGGGGGTGTGGGGGGTCTGCCCAGGACCCTTCCTTGCCATCCTCGCTCCCGCAGCCCCTTCGCGGCAGCCCCCATGTGGCTTCCCCAGGTCCTTGTCCCACAGCCCGGCCTGGCCCCTCCCGCCTCGGTGCCCACAGGAGCTGAGTCTTCCTGTGACCCGTAAGGGGGCAGTGGGTCACAGTGCAGAGGGGACAGGACCCCTGGCCCAGCCTGAGCCTCGGCAGGCAGGTTCCCGTGGCCGGGCCGGGCCTGGAGGGCAGCTCAGGGGTGGGGTCCTCAGGGCAGGGAGGGGAGAGGGGCGGCAGCCACCTCCATGTCCACAGCCTGCCGCTCTCATGTTCCTGTGTGGCGCAGGGCCGTCAGAGGGGGCCCCGCCCCCGCTCCCCCGCAGCTGCAGGTGTGGTGGGGGGCCGGGCTCTGCTGCTGGCAGGTGTTTATGCAGTGGTCTCGTCCAGGCGCTGCGGTGCACCCTCTGGGGAAGCGCCCCACCTGTGAGCCATCAGGCTGGGCACAGACACATGGCCTGTTCCGCTCCCAGCCTGCACTCTGTCTGGAGAGGGGCCGCTCCACCTGGTCAGACCGCGGGCCCAGCCCCCTTGCACAGGCCACTCTTGTCCCTGCCTTGTCTGCAGGCCTCTGTCTGGTGCACACTTCCTCCTGGGAGCCTCCTGGGCCCTCACAGCTAGTTTCCAGGTCCTGTGGCATCCCTCCCCTGCCTTCCCCCATTTGCTTACTCACTCTGGTCCTGTTTGCCAGGGTCAGGACCAGGTGGGCCAGGAGAGAGAACGGAGGGCAGGTACAGAGCAGTCCAGCCCACTGTGGAGAGTGGGCATGGAGCGTGTCTGACCCGGGCCTGGGTGGGCAGGGAGGGCATATTCTCTATCTCCATCCCTGCCCTGGCCCGGCCTGAGAACGCCCCTGACCAGACCAGGTGTGTGTCCGCAGTGCAAGAGAAGCCGGAGCCTGTGCCACTGGAGAGCCGCTCCTGTGTACTCATCCGCCGTGACCTCGTGGCCCTGCCCGCCAGCCTCATCAGCCAGATCGGGTACCGCTGTCACCCCAAGCTCTACTCAGAAGGGGACCCCGGCGAGAAGCTGGAGCTGGTAGCAGGTGAAGGGCCCTCCCCGCCCATCTCTTGTATGCAAATGCCCTCATTTTTTTTTCCTTCGGAGCAGTGAACAATGTACTCATCACCAATCAGTCAAAAAAAAAAAAAAAGAAGATAGAACATCTTAAATTTCCTCTAATTTCCTTTTAGAAGAATGTGTCATTAAGAGGAGTTATTCAATTGAATTAATTTAGCATTTTAATTGAATCCCCTGGGCTGGCCGCGCATCTGATTGGCAGGGGCTGCAATCACGATTGTGTTTTAATTTAGGTGGCAGAGAAAACCACATCGAATAGAGCGTGCGGGTCCCCCTCCCCCAGCCCCCACAGTGCCCCCCCACCCCCCGGCAGCGTTGACGGGGAACCACCCGAGGTTCCAAATGCATCTCGGAGTCGGAAACAGAGTTCTGTGAAGACAAATGGCACCCGTTAGGGCCGCGTGCCTTTGTCAGAAAGACTCCTCTTCCCAGCGTGGGGCTCCGCTTGGCCTCACAGCTCCTGGCAGACCTTTAAGGCTCTTCATGGGGAAGATGCGGCTGCTGTCACCCGCGCTGGGGCCACTTTCCAGGAGTGTCCTCCCGTGGCCACGGCGGGGGGGCCCAAACGGGCTGGCCAGGACCCACGGACACCGTCCCTCCTCAGTGCTGGCATGCACCCGCTCTGAGCCTCTGGGTCCCGCCGGGCCTGTTTGGTACTCCTGACCGCTGCACCCGGGGCACTACTGTGGGGTTCTGCCCGACCGTCCCCTCTGCTGGGAGGTCGCAGAGGGCGGCGGCAGAGCAGGGCAGAGAGGGGTGGCTTGGCCCTGCAGCTAACCGGAGAGCAACCGGGCCTGGGAGGGGTGGGGCACACCTGTCTGTCAGGGTTTGGGGTTGGGAGGGGTGAGGGCTGACCACCTTCCCTGGCCCGACCCACAGCTGGACATCAAGTGGCCAGGCCCCACGGTGCCCTAGCCCCCGTTACAGAGTCCCGACAACAAGGCACGTCCAGCCCGTGTGGCTCACGGTGACCTGCTCTGCTGTTGGCTTGGAGCCTCTGCAGACAGGAGATGGGCGGATGGGGGCCCTCAGGGACACTTGGCATGCCGTGGCCGAGCATGGTCAGACAACACTGACCTGACGCCCCAGTGGTGGTCTCCATCCAGAGCCCTGAGGCCGCTGAGCCAGGGCCCGCCCAGGCCAGAGCACCTCCGCGTACCTTCCTTCCACCCTGCTCCCTCCCTGTCTTTTTTCCCAGCAAGATCCACTATGGGATCTGTGACACGGGGGTCCTAGGGGAAGGCCTAAAGGGGGTGGTGGGAGTCCCGAGGACCCCGCATATGTGTGCCCTTTGGTGTCTTCTTGTCCAGAGTCGGGGGCACTGTCCCACGCATGCATCTGTTCCTTTTTCCATGGGCGCCGTCTGGTCCAGCAGAGGCCGCCCCACGTTCTCAGCGGGCTCCGGCCTTGGTGCTCCCGGGCCTTCCTGGGTACCTGAGCCTTGCCAGTCTTCTTCGGGGTAAACAGCACTGCGTGCCCTCGCTGACCACACCCCTGCCCTGTGGCTGGCTGCGCCCTCCCCCACACACCCTGGGCCGGGTGACCTCCCTAATCCCAGCTCCCCTGCACTGTCTGAGGTGCTTTGGTTTTGGGGAAAGAATGGAGAGGTGAGAAGTGTTTCCCAAACCGAGGGCCGAGCAGGGGATTCCCTTGAGGCTGGAAGGGTGATTTGGGGACGGTGCTCTGAGGCATGTGACCCAGGCCGCCGCCTCCAGGTGGCAGGGCCTCAGCACAGCGAGGAGAGCCTGGAGCGATGGTCCCCAGCCTGTGGGGTCCCAGGCCCGGGGGCAAGTGCTGCACTCAGCAGTCAGGGCGGCCTTGCGCTGCTCCCCATGCTGCCAGCACCCCCGGGCCTGCAGTGCGCCTGTTCTGGCGCCAGCGGCCCCTGGGAAGGTCATGGCCCTGGGTTGTGGGTCACAACCTCTCCTGTCTGGTGGTCACAGGCTCCGGGGTCTACATCACGCGTGGTCAGCTGATGAACTGCCACCTCTGTGCAGGGGTGAAGCACAAGGTCCTGCTGCGGCGGCTGCTCGCCACGTTCTTTGACAGGTGGGTCCCTGGGCCGGTGTGGAAGTTTCTAGGGTCTCCTCTGGCAACGAGCTCACGGCGGCCTCACCTTCATGGCCCCCCACCTTCCTGACGTCCTGCCACGGTGTCAGCCCGAGGACTGTGAGGCTGTGTGGGGGGCACGCCCACCCAGACAGGGCCCGGCTCTCCTGGACACACCTCCCCCCCGGCCCCTGTAAAACGGAGAGCCACATTGATTCATGGTGGGCCGGAGGAGCCCCGTCCCCAAGGGGCTTTGCTTCCCTCCTGTCTCTGGAGGGTGGTACTGACCCCTGGAAATGAACAGCAGTGCCAGGGGGCGGCTGGGTGGGCAGATCCCATTCCTGCGGCGCCTCTGGCCAGTGGTCTCACTGCCCCCTCCGTCCCCCCCACCCCCCAGGAACACTCTGGCCAACAGCTGTGGCACTGGCATCCGCTCCTCTACCAGCGACCCGAGCCGCAAGCCTCTGGACAGCCGGGTTCTGAACGCTGTGAAACGTGAGTGCTCCGGGGTCCCCTGGGTGGGCTGGAGGCGCTGCCCGGGTCCCCTGGGGCTGGGGACGGTGGCCTCTCCATGGCGCCATGCCAGCCCTGTAGGGCTGGGGAGGGAGAGAGAAAAGAGCAGCTCTCAGGAGCCAGGTCTCGAGGTGTTAACGTTCTTGGTAGGTTTCCAAGCATGATGGATTCAGCTGCGTGCGAAACTATTTTAATATGTGAAATAGATCTAATTTTCCTTTTTGAACAAAACCCCTTATTTACATTTCGAGGTTATTTTGAGCCTTTGCCATCTGCTCGCCGACTTCTGCCTCCCGCTCCTGGGTGCGTGGGGGCGGAGCCCAGTCCATCTCCGCAGCCCACGGCTGCCCCCCGCCCCCCCCAAGTCCCTCCACCGCCCCGGGAGGGGGAGGGGCCTGCCGTCCGGCTCAGGCCACCCCGGGTGGCCCTCCCACGGCGGTCGGCACACAAAACACCGTCTTCCTTCCTTGCTTGGAAAACATGTCTTGTGAGACTAATTCTGTCTTAGAGCAAAGAGGGGCCTTTGTGGTCGGTAATTACGGTCCCAAAGCTGCTGTGCTGGCTGGGCGCCGGGAAGAGGCGGGGGGTGTGCGGCGCTGCTGGTGTGAGGGGCTCGCCCCAGGGACCTGTGTCCGGCCCCCAGGCTGCTTGCAGAGCTGGGTCCCGTGGCTCCTGCTGGAGGGGAAGGAGGGGCGCTGTTCGTGATGCTGGGGTGCTGATAGGGCCCTGCTGCCGCTTCCTCCTGGCTGGGTGCTGGGCCCAGATCAGGTGTGGACTGGCTCCCGCCGTGCTCCTCATCCAGCCTGTGAGGACGAGCCTCTGATGAGGGCCCCGGAGAGGCCCGAGCCCCAGAGTGGGCAGGTGCCCGGGCTGCCTGACTTCGGGACCCTGCCCTGATGGCCCTTCTGGTCAGAGCAGCAGCGTCCTCGAGCAGGCTTGTCTCCGCAGGCCCTGGGACCCAAGGTGGGTGGGACAGAGAAAGTGAGGCCCAGAGATGCCAGGGACCTGCCAGTGTGCGGGGAGGCCCACAGCCCTGTGCCCCGACGCTGCCTGCCCCTCCTCCCCTGGACGCTCCCGCCAGAGGCTGTCCCGAGGGAACAGGGCAGGGCCCCCGGGACGACCACTGGTCTGCAAGCCGAGGCCAGCAAGGACCTGGGTGGCCACACGGCCTGCCGTGCCGGTGGGCAGCAGGGTGGAGGGCAGTGTGGAGGCCCCGGCCCCGGCCCCTGGGTCGCTGACGCCCGCCCCCCCGCGCCCTCTGCTTGCAGTGTACTGTCAGAACTTTGCCCCCAGCTTCAAGGAGAGTGAGATGAACGTCATCGCGGCGGACATGTGCACCAACGCACGCCGCGTCCGCAAGCGCTGGCTGCCCAAGATCAAGTCCATGCTGCCCGAGGGTGTGGAGATGTACCGCACAGTCATGGGCTCCTCGGCCGCCGGCGTGCCCCTCGACCCTGACTTCCCGCCCACCGCGGCGCAGGTGTTCGAGCAGCGCATCTACGCCGAGCGGCGGGGCGACGCCGCCACCATCGTGGCTCTGAGGACTGACGCCGTGAACGTCGACCTGAGCGCTGCCGCCAACCCCAGCTTCGATGCGGGCGAGGAGGCGGACGGGGCTGGCTCGGTCATCCAGGAGGTGGCCGCGCCCGAACCGCCGCCACCCGCTGCGGCGCAGAGCCCTCCAGCGTCCTTCGAGCAGGGCAGCGCCAGCTCCAGCCGGCCGCAGACGCCCGCGGCGCCCCGGAGACAGGAGGCGTCCTACGCGGGGACCTTGTAGAGGAGCCGCCGGGAGCCTCGCGGGACCGGTACTAAAGCTGCTTGCATGCGTTACTAATACAAACAAATGTGATCAAGCCACTTACCTACGGGACTGCTACTGTTGCCTGACAAAAATGTGATTTTTATTCTGCTTGTATTTAAAGTTTATGAAGGAAACAAATGCATTCGTTATACTGTAAAGGATTAGTCCGCTGGTGACCTAGTTGTGCAGAAGGTCCCAGGGCTCCTTTTGATATCTGCGAGGTTCGTCTCCGGGCTGTGGGCCCCTGACCCCGCTCTGGGAGGGCCGAGAGCCTGCGGCCCCCGGTGCCCGGGGCCCTGTGGCGTGGGGCACGCGTCTCCCAACACTCACTGCTCATCGGGGGGACCCCGCCTGCTCCTCTGGGGCCAGGGGCCAAACGCCTCTTGTTTTCCCTTCTTCCTGAGACTCGGGGCTCAGGCCTGCCGGGTCCCCCGCGTGCGTGGGGTGCGGGAACGTGTGTGTGAGTATGCGCGTGTGTGTGAGCGTGTGCGGGAGCAGCGGTGTGGGCACCACAGAGGGGAGGGAGAGGTGCGTGCCCCTCCGTCCTCCCGCCCCACGCCCGTGGGCCCTCCCGGCCCCTTCAGCTCCACGGCCCCCAGTGCCCGCCAGCTCCACCCGGCCCCGCCCGCCGTCCCGTGGTGCAGCCCCACCGCCCTCAGCCATGTTGGGATTACATTTGTTTATTTGTTTTTGTCTTAATTCAGATCTATTTCATGTATGGTTTGAAAACTTTCAGACCCAAAAGAGCAAAAAATTAGGGAGGATTTGGTGTCCCTGCCCTCAACCTGCTATGCTTTGGGCTGGGTCATCTGTGCACCGTGTCCCGCCCAGCCCTGGCCCAGGTCCCACGCGCCTCCTGTTCGGAACCGGGTGGCAGGGGGGGGGGTCCAAGGGAGACACAGCCAGGGTGTGTAGCAAAGGAGGGGCTGGGGACCCCATTTGGCCAGGCTGGGCTGGGGCGGGTCCCCCGTATTGTGCTGCAAACCTTGGGGCCAGGCGGGCAGGAGGTGGGCACGGGCCAGGCTGCTGGGCAGTTTGCAGGAGGAGCCCGGGAGCAGCAGGGTGGAGGTTCTGGAATGCGTGTGGCAGGGTGCAGTGAGGAGGGGCCCTAGAAATTGTTGGCTTGTTTGAGGCTGGAAGGCTCACGTTGAAGTTCAGTTGCTGTTTTTTGGTGAGCGAGGGCACGGGTTGTGTGCACATGTGGCCACTGGCCCGGGGGCTTCCTTCATCCTGAGCCCCAGGCAGTCTGGTCCTGGGGAGACCAGACACCCCTCCATTCCCGGACGTGAAGGGGTCTATTGGTCCCCCTCCTCAGCACTCTGCCTCCCCTGACCAGGTGCAGAGCAAGCCCACCACACCCCCTGTGTGCACAGGGCCGAGCAGGTGTGGCTCAGCCTCCCTGTGACCCACAAAGCTGAGCCTCCCCCGGCCGCAGGCAACCTTGGGGGTGTTTAGGCATCTTTCCGCTCAGGTTCCTCCTGACTGCTACCCTGTGTGGAGAGGCTTTGGGGGAGACCTGGGCTGGGCGTGGAGCCTCCAGGCCTCCTCCAGCCGGGCCAAACATGTGCCTGCCCTCCAGAAAGATCTGATGGCTTCCAGGAAGGGGTGGGGAGACCTTGGGCAGGCCCATGGGGAGCTCATCTCAGCCCCTGTGCCCGAGGGCAGGGGGGTCTGGGCCTGAAGAGACTGCACTCCTGCTAGGGCTCCGAACCAACCACCTGGCCTAGGGGTGAGCCTCTCTCTTTCCCTGCCTCTTTCTCCCCTGACCTGGGCCCAGGTGGGCTTGGAGCTGCCTGAGCCTGGGGCCCCAGGCCACTCAGGACCTAACCCTCTTGGGACTGAGAGGCCAACCCCCAGCATCCTCAGGCAGCCACTGGGGGGTGGAGGTGAGGATGGGGAGGGTTGACCCCCATCCCCCTCTGCAGCTTCCCTCCCTGACCCCAACGTGCACTTTCATTTGACCATCCCTGAGGACCCCGGGGAGACGGCTGGCCTCTCCTGGCGGTCAGCAGAAGGGCTTGCGCGCTTGCTCCCCCTCTCCCCCTCTCTTTCTCCTCCACTCCAGAGTGGGAGCGGCCCCCGACCCGAGGCCAGGACATGAAGGGGTGCCCTTGGCCCGGCGGCGGCGGCACCCACGCAGAGAAGGCCTGACTGCTGCTCAGGCCAGCACAATGTCCCGTGACCTCTGTCCCTTAATCGTTTATAACCGCCGTCTGTTTTGTTGTTCTGGGTAAGGAAGGCAAGAGCTATACGTGAAACTTTAATACTTCAATGTGAATGGGTTCTGAGCTCTCCCTGTGCCCCGGGCGGGCCAGGCCGAGCGTTTTGCACTAATGTGTCCCGCGGTGGACGTGGGTCCGGAGCGTTTGCAGACGGGCATGGCTGATGATTGTATCTGCCGGGGCGCTCCCTCCGCGTCCTGAATGTTCCGCGGGGCGGGCAGCGGCGGGCCTGGGCTCGGAGGGGCCTTCCAGAGTGCCTTAGCATCTTCTGATCATTTTTCCCAAGGAAAACCAATTAAGAAAACCGGACCCTCCCCCTCCTCTGTTTACAAGACGACTAATTCCTGTCCTGTGAGCGTGATCCTGACTCACCCAGACCCTGTAGACCGAGAGACAAGCCACTCAGTATTTATGACATGTCTGCACCTTTATTCCCGAGCTTGACTATTAGCAATACGCATACACTATGTAGTCTATTATAGAGCTAAGTTAGACCCGCGCCGTTTTGAGGAGGAGAGAAGGGACTGGACCCCGTCGGAGGGGACGTGGCGGGCAGCCGGCCGGGCCCCCATCCTCACCCGCCCTCCCCGGCGGATGGGCTGTGCTGAAGGAGGCAGCTGGGACGGAGTGCAAAAGGTCCAGAAGCAGGGATGGGGGGGTGACGGATACTGTGAGCTGGCGGGGCCACCCGGCCGGTGCGCCTCGGTACTTGAATTCTGTCTTGTGTTCTGCACTGTGTCTGCTCTCACCCAGAGTTCTCTGTGGTTGCTTAACTTTGCGTTGGATTCGATAGTCTTGCCTTGCCCCCTGAATGTGGCCGTGGCCGTGGACGAGCGGCCGGGGGGGAGAGACCGGCTGCTGTCTCCTCTGGGGAAGCTCGTTCTGGGGCGGTTGTGTTTGGAGCTGGGAGGGACGCAGAGGGGGAGGGGAGGGGCGGGGGCGGCGACTCTGGGGTGCCCGGCCCTGACCTGTTCCCCCTTAACGGCGGAACGTTCGAGTGCCTGCCCAGTGCCACCCCCAGCCACTTACTGCTTAGATTCCCCTCAGATGGGTTATATTTATGGAAATATCTTGATGCCGGTGGAAGGAGGCCGATGGCCCATTAACCAACCAAAAACTGCGAGAGGAACCTCTGTTTGCCTCTGCCAGCAGTAAATCCTAAACACAGAATGGAGAGTTCATAGCTGTCTTGAGCTTTAACTACTGTTTCAGAATGTTGCTGATGCATAAATTTGTCATTATGTCAGCCGGGCAGCTCCGAGCGCGTGTCGCCCGCCACCGGCCGGAGATCGTTAGGGCTTGGTACAAGATGTTTCTAATGTGGCAAAGGTTTTGGGTTTTGTTTGTTTGTTTTGTTTTGTTTCTTTGGAAAAAAAAAACCGAAAAGGAAAATTATGCAGAATCTAAAGCATTCAGATTGGACAACCTGCTTGAATTCTGATCAACCCCTTCATTGTTAGCGTTTTGCACATGATTGTAATTTTTATGTCAAAAGAAGCCAAAACTTGCAATACTATTTTTAGCAGACAAAAAAAAAAAAAAAGAACTAAGTATAAAATGTATAAATATTTTTGACTTGAACATTTGGATGGCACTGGGTGCAAACAGACCATTCATCCTTTGGACGGAATGTTTGGGAAAAAGAGCCTTTTTACAAAGAGACGGTTGATGTCCAGTCTGGTGAGGGGGTGAAGTCCTACTGTAACTCACGACTGTTAAACAATAAATAAATGAAATCACTGTTCCTTGTGCCGTGGAGCAGGTTTGTTTTCCTAGGACCCACCCCCCAGCCCCCCTGAGAGAGCGAGTGGGCTCGTTCCAGCCCCAGCAGGTGCGTCCGCTCCTCCTCCCGCTCTTGCTGCATTTGAGCCACGGCTGACGCTGCACCAGTCACTCAACCTAAAACAGAGACGCCCCCCGGCGGCCAGGAAACCCAGGGCTTCCGTGGCGCGCCGAGCCCGGTGCAGGAGGTGGAAGTCGTTGCAAACAGAAGGATGTGATCGTTAATTGTAAAGCGCTTTGTAAAATTCACATTTACAGAATAATAAAGTCAGTTCAAACCCAAGTGGCCTGCGCTTTGCTCCATCAGTGGGACTGGGGGAGACATTGCGGAGCCGGGGGGAAAGCCGGGTGTTGGGCAGGGTGACCCGGGGACTCGGGACACCCCCAGGAGCCAGGATCACCACGTGGGGGCGGGGCCCTCCCCAGACTTGTTGTCCACCCAGGGCCAGAGATCCGGCTGCGGGGGTCCAGAGCCACTGGGCCCACTTAACCTCCCGCTCCCCCAGCGTCTCACCTTACACGGGAAGGAGGCTGGGTGCAAGGGGGTTGTCACATGCTTGTGGGAGGGCCTTGGGCTGGCCTGTGAGGGGTTCCTTTTCTCTTTATTGTCTGCACACTGGGAAAGCCACCTCATCCGGCTCACCTGCCTGCCACCGGCCAGGTGTGAGGCTACCTCCTTCCAGTCCCCCAGCCGCCTCCTCCTGGGCCAGGTCTGCCCCCACATGGACAGAGGGGGAATTGCAAATGAATCGCAGGTCCCCTGGCCTGACCTGGAGCCCCTGGTGCCAGGTGGGTGGGTGGCATCTTCCAACCATCTGTGGCGCCGTCCCCACCGGGCCAGCTCTGGACTGGGGTCCTCAGATTCAGGCAAGCCTGGCAGCTCACGGCCTCCTTTGTTTCTCTGCTGTGTCCACAAGAATATTTGTGAGCTCCCCCTGAAACCTAGGCCCTGGGCAAGCAAGGCCTTGCATCAGGGTGCCCCTCAGCCCTGGGTTAGGCCCCTCACACGTGCTTCCCACACCCGGACACCTGCGTGGTGGGCTCCTGTCTTCTCAGCTGCACCCCTGGTCTCTGCCTGAGCTAAGGCATGAGGTGTGTTTGCTCACTTGTTTAGCGAGCTTCTCCCAAGGGCAGGGGTCTGTAGGTCTGCTTCACGGTGACGTCCCCAGAATGGGGTCCCCTGGAGCCACGGCCAGCACAGAGGGAGCACAACGTCTAAAATGAGTGGCCGTGGTTTTCAGAGGGGCCCCCTGCACAGAGGGGCCCCCTGCACAGAGGGGCCCTGCATCCACGGTCAGCACATGACACTCTCTCCCCAGGAATGCCCAAGGAGCCTGGCCCAGGCGGCGCTGGGGAGCTGGGTATGTGTGTCCCCGCCCCACTGCCAAGCCCAGCTCTGGCCACCGGGGCAGCGTGCCACTTCTGGTCTTGTTTTCAGAGCTGTTCCCTACCACCCCCAGCCAGCTGACCAGTGTTATCTCAGGCCTGTGCAAGGCCCTTCCCACCCACGCCTCAAAGCTGCTGGATGGGGTGGATTCCCCTGTCATCTCCCTGGGCTGGTGGAGACAGCCCACCTCTGGGCTGTGGGACACGTACGTGGGAGGCCCCGAAGCCCCCTCACGGCCCTCCAAATGCCCCACCCAGGCGGTCCGGGGCCAGCCGAGGCCCAGTGGGGTGGGAGTACCAGGAGGGTCTGGGTTTGGAACCCAGTTCTGCCGGGACCCTGTGACATGGGGTCTCCTGGTCTTTCAGGAGGAGGGGCCGGGCACCTGTGAGCCTGGGCTCTGTTCCCCACCCTGCAGTCTGAGCCCCTGTCCTTCAGCTGGCCTCCCTGCCCTCGCAGTCTGGACGGAGACTGGCTGAGGCATCAGAAGCTCAGCCCCCCCTCCCAACCCTTTGTCCTGTCCTGGGAAGAGGGTGCAGAGTCAGCAGGACCAGAGGCTCTGCCCTGGAGCCCTTTGTCCTCAGCATAAAGGGTTGGAGCCCCTGGGGTGGGGTTGATCCTGAGCCTGTAGAGGAAGGGCCTGTTGGTCCAAGCTGTGCGGAGGTCAGGCTGAGGGCCTGGCCAGCGCAGGGGTTGAGCAGGGAGGAGGGTGGGCCCGGGGGCTGGGGGCTCCCACTTGTCATTGAGAAGCTTTGAGTGGCATGTTCTTCACAACCCCCACTGGGTGGGCACTGTCCCTCCCTGGAGGGGAGACTGAGGCCCTGCACTGAGCAGCCAGTGCCATGCTGGCAATGACCTGGCTAGAAGAGGGTCCCCGCCCATCCGCTGTTGCCGAGGAGGCTTGGGGCGGATCAGTCTCAGCTCTGCGTTGTGTCCGTTCCATCAGGTGGCCCCAGGAGGGCCGTGTGGAAGGATCTACTGGGAAGTGGACACAGACACTTGTCCAGGGACCCCTGGGGGATCTCCATCGGGAAGGAAAGGAGAACAGTGGTCAGATGGGCAGTAGGTTAGGGCCCTGGGTCAGGAAGGGAGGGTAGGGCCGAGGAGGAGGGATGGGGTCTTAGATGCACCCAGCTCAGACATTCTGGTTACCACACACACGGGGGACGAGCAGGAGGTGACAGTAGGTGTTTACAGAGGTCCGGCTGCCTGTGTGCCTGGTGGGGGGGCACAATGCCTTCCGCCCTGGGTACTGTTTCTTGGGCTCCCCGAGGGTGTCTGTGGCCAGTGGTGAGGGCTGGGGCTGGGGCTGGGGCTGGGAGGGGCCCAGGAGCCTGTAAGGTGGGGGTAGGGATGTGTCAGGTGGCCTCAGTGGGGATACAGCCATGAGGGTGGGCTGGAAGGGACCTCTGGCCCAGGTCTGTTCTTCTCCTGTGAGCCACCTCGAGGGGGCCTCCCTCAGTCCGAGGGAGGCCGTTCCGGGTGGGCCAGGGGTGTGAAGGCTGCTGTGATCCCCGGTCCCCACCCAGAACTCCCTGGGCCCCCTTGTAGGGACTTTGTAATAACTAGGGGGCCTATGGAGAGAGGGGGCGGGGAGGGTAGAGGAGCCAAAGTAGCCACCATTCTGGCCCAGCAGTGACGGCGCCAGGGGTCTCATCCGGACCCCCCGCCCCCTACCCCCCCCCACACACAACCCACACTGGGGAGGCAGGTCCTGCTGTGCAGAAGCTGCTCCCAGCCCCCTGGGACCCATAATTGACTAACTGCTCCAGACAGACAGCGGAGCTGGGACATGGATGGCATTGCCTCGAGGGGTCGGGGCGTGTGGAGGCCCTGATTTCCAGGAAAAGCAGCCTGTTTCTCCAGGGCTGGCCATCAGGGGCTGGGAAGAGCAAGGCCTTGACCTGGGCCAGCCAGGCTGGGACAGAGCCCATGTGCCCTGGGCTGCGTGCGTGGCCTGGGGCCGGCTAGCACCTGCCTCAGTTCCCCCCTTACAGGAGGGCTGGGCTGGTGCATGTGTGTGGCTATAACCCAGCTCCATCAGTTAGGGACAGAAGCGACCCCGGCAAGAAGCCCGCCATGTGTGTCCCTCTGGCCTCCCTGTGGTGGGGCAGGTTCTGGAAAAGGGCTCCCCCAGCAGCACTGGGCAGCTCGTTCAGAAGGCAGCTCTCCCTGGTATGGGAGGTTCCGGGGGGCCCCACGCTGGCACCCCAGATGGGCCCCACCTGCTTGTAAGCCACCCCTCGGGGCATCCAGCTCTGTGGCCTTCACCCTGCTCAGGCCCTTGGTCAGCCCTTCTCCTGGAGTAGGGCAGGGGGCAGAAGTTCACCCCCAAGGAAGCAGTCGTGGCCCCCAGCTGGGGGGCTGCACTTGGGCAGGAGGGGAGGAAGTCACCCCTAGCAGCAGGGAGTTCAAATATAGGCCCCTGGACAGCCCCCCAGGGACAGTCCATAAGGGAGGGGTGGGGAACGTGACCTCCACAGGCCCCGGCGGTCTGGGTCTCCATTCCGAGCTGTTTCCTGAGCCCCCTCCTTCCCCTAGGCCCACGGAGGCCTGGATGCAGCTTGGGGCTGGGAGAGCACGTCCTGCCCTGAGGAAATTAGCAGCCCCGTGGGCCCTGAGCCACCCCAGAATTGACACCCCCAGCCTCCCTGCTGGGGCCTTGGCTGCTCAACTGTCCCATATTCCTTCATCCATCGCCGGGCCCCTCCCCGGACCGCCCCCCTCCGTCCTCGACCCCCGGTGATGTGGCACTGAAGGGACTCTGGCCGGAGGAGACCCGGGTTTGAGGTCTAGTTTAGGGCCGTGAGCTGTGAGACTGGCACGCGTCTGCCCATCTCTGGACCTCGGCTTCGGCCTCCAGACTGCAGGGTCTCTGCAGCGGGCCCCCGCCCACAAGGCTCCCCGGTCCCTCGTGGGGAGGCCACCTCCCACGGCCACACTCCCCATTACACGGGGTGGCCCTACGGCCTGCAGAGGCTGAGGCCCACACACAGCCCCGCCCCGCCCCGCCCTCCCCGCGGATCCCCTGCCCACCAGCACCAGGCTGCCAGGAGCCCCGAGGGCTGATGCGCGGGGGCAGGAGCTGTGGAGAGGGCCAGGTGCTCCCAGTTTTCATTGCCTGCAGGGCACCCGAGCCACACAGGTGGGGGACCGGGGTCATGTGGAGGGAGATTGGGGTGCGGAGCTTGGGGCAGAGAAGGATGGCCTCCGGGCCAGGACAGACTCCAACCCTCCCCCTCCAACAGGCTCCAGGCTTGGACTGGCTGCTTCTCTCCCTGCCCACAAAGTGGGGGCGAAAAGGCCCCGCCCTTCGAGGACATGGGGCAAGACAGTGGGGTGGGAGAGGCCCAGGGGGAGGGGAGGAGAGGGGAGGGGAGGGGAAGGGAGAGGAGAGGAGGCGGGCAGAGCTGGACTCACCACCTGGAGGCCCTGGGGGGCTGGAGAGGGTCCCTCTGGGCTCAGGGACGGGCCACAGGGGTGCTTGGCCTCTGTCTCCACACAGGCCCTGGGCAGCCACTGGGGAGTGAAGGACCCCATGCACCCCTTCCAGAGCCTCCCCAGGCCAGGGCTCCATGCAGAGCCAGAGCCAACCTGGGCTGGAGGGCTGACTTGTGCCCTGGCTTCAGCCCTCATGGGGACTCCTGTCTCAGGGGACGTGCCAGGAGGATGTGCACTGCCCAGTGCCGGCCCGAGAGCGTCTCCAGGACCAAGTGGTGGAGCCCCTCCCGCAAGGGACACTGGACTTCGATTGGAAGGGGACCATCAGGCCACCGCAGCCAAGCAGAGCGGGACTGGCAAGGCAGGCATGGCTGGGAGGGAAATTAAGACCCGATGCCAAAATGCTCGGAAAAGCCCAGCCTTGATCAGATGGGCTTTGCTGGAGACCCAC